GCCGACTTGACCCGGGTGCCGCGGGCCGGCCGGGGGCGAAGAGACCAGCGGGTGGGGAAGGTTAAGTGGGGATGGAACGGGAATGGCAGCACCGCCTTGTCAGTGTGCTCATTAACCTTCAAAAGGATAAACTCACTTTTTTAAAAAGTCAGGCTAATGATAAGAGCATAAAGTTGTGATTCTGCGCTTCTCCCAGGATTTTCTTCCTTAGCTGCAGGATGAGATTAGCTGTTTCAAGAAATAAATACAAACAAACCGGAATAGAACTCAACAGTGGGTGGTTGGGCAAAAAGAGTCCTCTATAAAGTCATCCAGAGTGTGGTCACGGGCCAGAAAGACCCTCCAAATATAATGTTAATTTAAATTTAAAAAAAAGAAGAAAGAAAAGAGAGAGAGAGAGAGAGAAATGCCCTCTGTCCGGGGCTCGGGTCTAACTGGCAAAAAGAAAAGAAATAGGGGTCCCACAATGCAGCTATGACTGCTAGAAAAGGCAAAGCAAACTAATTTGCGTTTGGAAAGTGCACGGCGTGTGTAAGACCGTGGAAATATAAAAAGACTGTGCTTGGCGTGAGCCTTTCCCCCTCGGGGGGCGAGCGAGCAGTTGTTGCTGAATCCCAGGGACTTAAGTGGGATTAGGAGCTGCCTGCGCCTGCGCGGGGCAGAGATGCTCTGCTCAGTGGTACCTGCGGTGCCACGGCAATCAAAACAGCGCTGCAAACCAAAGGGTAGGGTGTTACTTGGCTAAGGAACTTTTTAATTGTTCCCCTCACCACAATTCTTTATTATGAAAATTTTCAAAACTACAGAAAATAGATATGCCTTTCTGTGTACCATTTGAATAAGTTACAGGCATCAAAATACTTCACCTCTAAACACTTCAGCCTGCCTCTCCTAAGAATAAGGACATTTGCTTCAGAATCACAGTAGTATTATCACACCTAAGAAAGCAATTTCCTGATGTCATTTAATGTTCAGTACACATGCAAGTTTCTATGATTGTCCCACGAATATCTTTTATAGCTAGGAGTTGGGTATTTTTATGTTTGGTATTTGTTTTTGAACTAGGATACTGTCGATGGCCATATATTGCATGTGCTTATGATGCTGAAGAAACAATTTGAAATGTGCACTAACTTTTTTTAATGTTTTTATTGATTTTTAGAGAGAAGAAGGGAAGGAGAGAGAAACATCATTCGGTTGCCTCCCACATGAACCGGGCGCGACTGGGGATTGAACCTGCAACCTGGGCATGTGCCCTGACCAGCAATTGAACCAGCAACCTTTTGGTGCACCAGACATCGCTGAACCAACTGAACTACACCGGCCAGGGCAATAACTATTTTCTTTACACATCATACTCACGGATATTCTGAATGGCGATATGTTCATAGGGTGTTCTTCATTAAGAGCAGGTGTTTTAGATAAGCACATTTCTGTATACCAGGGAAGTCTAGAAGGAAAGAGTAGTTTTTAGCACCACATTGAGTCTATAATTGAAGCTGTATTAAATAGTAATGTTTATGCTTACCTCCTGGAATACATAAACTTAATGGATTATGTTGGAATCTCTACTCAACCTGACTTCTGAAGTTTAATGATTTTTTTTCCCTAGACAATGAAAAGAAGCTATTCCATATAATAATTTATATTACTCCAGACAAAACATCCAGCTTGCCCTGCTTCACAGTACAGAACAAAATGAACATTGCACCCTCTGCATTTTACTCATGGTTTAATTTTAGATCCTGACCTGCTGAATTGGGTTTTATTTGTCCTTCCCTTTTATGCACCCTCTAGGAAGTCAGGAACTCAGCAGAAAATGGTAACTATTTCTAAGTTATTTAATTTTTAAATGTTAATGCTGTAAAAAAAAAAAAAAGGTGCAAATTTACACAATTCCTTAAACGTGACTGGTGGCTAATGTAACTATTTTTGGAGATTAGCATTAAGTAAGATTGTTTCCATACTTCACAAAATATTAGGTGCCACTTAAGTTCCTTCTGGAGATCCACAGTTAAAACAGTTTTAGCCCTAACAGGCTTGGCTCAGTGGATAGAGAGTCGGCCTGCGGACTGAAGGGTCCCGGGTTCGATTCCGGTCAAGGGCATGTACCTTGGTTGCGGGCACATCCCCAGGAGGGAGTGTGCAAGAGGCAGCTGATCGATGTTTCTCTCTCATTGATGTTTCTAACTCTCTATCCCTCTCCCTTCCTCTCTGTATAAGATCAATAAAATATATTTTAGAGAAAAAAAAAAAAAGCCAAACCGTTTTGGCTCAGTGGATAGAGCATCGGCCTGCGGACTCAAGGGTCCCGGGTTCAATTCCGGTCAAGGGCATGTACCCTGGTTTCAGGCACATCCCTAGTGGGGGGCGTGCAGGAGGCAGCTGATCGATGTTTCTCATAGATGTTTCTAACTCTCTATCTCTCTCCCTTCCTCTCTGTAAAAACTCAGTAAAATATATAAAAACAAAACAAAAAAAAACAGTTTTAGCATAGTAGATCTCATCTTTAAAGAGAGTTCTGTAATCAGTACTGTTCTCCTAGGTCCAGGCTTAAAGGGACAGAGGTCTAAAGGGCCACATGACTTGTTACTAGAGGACTTTCATTCAATTCATATTTATAGCAGCATCTGTAGAAGTCACTTAAATACTGTGTTCACCTCCCATTTAATCAACTATTGTTTTTCTGACCATTAAGAATCTTTAGATAACTTCAAACAGCAAAAGGAAGACTCTTGGGAAGTTAAATTGTACTCTGTGCCTTACCATTCTCTACTAGGTACTCTTAGACCTTAGAAAATACCCTTTTCACCTCCTAGTTCCCCCACTCCTATCCTCCAAATGACCCTAAGTGTCTATGGCTACTTGGCAGCTGTAACAGTTGGAGGCTCTACGAAAAAGTTTTGAGGGGAAGGGGGTGCAGGGACGATGGGGGGAATAAGGACACATATGTAATACCTTAATTAATAAAAAAATAAAAGTTTTGAGGGGAAAATATGTGAAGCGAGGGTGCTAATTATGTTACTGGACTGAGGACTGGGCCCAGAGCAGGTCTGCCTCGAGCTGGCTGGTAGTGGGTGGATCCTTGACTTTGTGCAGGAAAGATCTCACAAGAGCCCAGGTGATTTTGAGAGTATATTTATTAAAGCTGGGAACAGTGAAACAAAGGAAGAGCTTCAGGTAGAAGAAGAAACAGGAGAGCCTATGAGGGGCTGCTTTGGCTTCTCAGAAAAGTTATAGGAAAGAAGTGAGCCATGCAGGGCTGAGTGAACTCAGAAGTAAAAGTCACAGTGACAGAAGTGAGACAAGATGGGGCTGTTGTTAGCTCACTAGAAAATAAAATAAAAGGGGGCCTTACAGACAGATACAGAGAGTTAGCCTGGGATGAGCTGCCACTGCCTGCTGCTCCTCTGGTTTCAAGTCTGGTGGGGACATGCTTAGAAAGAAAGAGAAGGAGGGAATTAGAGAGGAAGAGGGGTGAGAGAGAGAGAAACATTGATTAGTTGTCTTCCACATGTGCCCCAACTGGGGATTGAACCGTCAGTCTGGGTATGTGTCCTAACTGGGAATCAAACCATGACCTTCTGGTTCATAGCTCAACATTCAACTACCGAGCCACACCAGCTGGGCTGGAATTCTAACTTCTTATACTTAGTATTTTCCATGTGGAATAATAGCTGCAAAAATACAAGGGAGAACTTCGAAAGTGAAGGGATTAAGGTGAATCTGCCATTGTTAATATCTATTCCACCTTGAATGTTCTCAGGTATCTGTTTCTCCATAGACTGAGTAAGGAGGATTACTTCTCCTAGCCCTTCCCGTCTACCCTTGAATTCCCATGTCCTCGGCTACAGTCAGGTATGTGTTGTCTGCATGCTTCCGATTTGGGGACAAAGAATACTGCTCTCCGTGGTAAACTGAAGAATCCTCCCTTCCCCCTAAGATATCTATCTGCTAATCCCCGGAATCTATAAATGTTACCTTATGTGGCAAAAGAGACTTTGCAGATATGATTAAAGTAGGATCTTGAGGTAGGAGATGAGTTTGGATTATCCAAGTGGGCTCTAAATGCAATCACAATAGTCCTTATAAGAGGGAGGCAAGGAAGTCAAAGAAAAAAAGTCATTATGGTAACAGCAGCAGCAGAGACTGAAGTGATGCAACCACAGCCAAGGAATGCAGACCATCTCTAGAAGCTAGAACAGGCAAGGAATGGATTTTCCCCTGGAGCCTGTAGAAGGAACCAATCCTGCCCACACCTTGACTTTATCCCAGTAAAACTGATTTCGGCTTAAGGCCTCCAGAACTGTAAGAAAGCAAATATGTGTTGTATTAACCAACCAAGTTTATGGTGATTTGTTACAACAACAATAGAGAACAAATACACTCTCCTTTCGGCAGCCTTTGAAGTCTGATGACAATATATATGTACTAGGGGCCCAGTGCACAAAATCGTGCACTGGGGGGGGGGGTGGAGTCCCTCAGCCCGTCCTGCGCCCTCTTGCAGTCCAGGAGCCCTCGGAGGACATCCCTCTCACAGTCCGGGACCCCTCACTCCTTACCGCCCACCTGCTCGCTGCTCCTTAGCACTGCCGCAGAGACGGGAGAGGCTGCCACCACAACCGCTGCACTGCCAGCCGTGAGCCTGCTGGTGAGCCCGGCTTCTGGCTAAGCAGCCCGCCCGCTGTGGGAGCGCACTGACCACCAAGGGGCAGCTCCTGCATTGAGTGTCTGCCCCCTGGTGGTCAGTGCATATCATAGCAACAGGCTGAGCTCTGAGAGACCAAATTTTCAGGAGTTATAGCACCAGTTTTCCTGGTTGGTATTAGCAGTAGCGATTGGAGGCTTCTGAGGAAGAAGCAGAAGACCTAGTGTTGACAGAGATTGTTTCTGGTCCAGTCATGAACAAGTCATTAACTGTCCTAAGCCTCTGTGAAGTTGATCTACATGATCACCAAGAGCCCTTCCAATTCTAAAATTCTGAGCTGTTGCAAAATATATTTTACCTTTCAATTTCACATTCACATGTTACTGCTATTACAGTCTCTCTCCAGCCTATCTAGCCAGCCTCCCTCTCCACCACAAAGTCTACACATCAACCACAAGCACATGGAACTTGTTTCTTTTAGCTTGTAAATTTCTTCCCTGCCTTCATCCCCTGAGCACTCAGACTCATCCTCAACACTCAAACCACAAATCACAGGCTTTGAGAAGCTCTCTCATCTTCCCAAAGCAGAGTGGTCAACTCTGCCTTGGTGCTTTCGGAGGACTAAAGCAGTATCAAGTTAGAACTGAATATTCTTTTCCGATTCTGTTTCCCAAATCAGAATGTGGACTACTCCTAAGCAATATTCTGTCAGATTCGTGTTTATATCTCTAGCACCTACTTCTGTATTCGGCACGTAGCACTCATGTTTGTAGACTGAATAAACAGATGAATAATTAATCCCTGAACTCTAAGAACCTGGTTGAGGTTGTGGGGGAGGGGTTGGGAAAGGGGAAGGGATGGAAGTGAAGTACAAGAAGACAGGAAATTCATGTTTCAGCAAGATGTCCAGAGTCCTGGAGGAAAAGCTGAGACAGATGTGTGTGGTGATTTAATTCAAGGCTCTCTACAGATACTTACTGTACATGCAATTTAGCATCTCTCCTGACCTTGCTTCAAAGTCAGTTTCTAAGTGGAGCTAACAGTACGAGCTATCTCGCACAGTAATCTGCTGATTAGAAGCTCTTAACTGAGGTGGATGGCAGGCAGCCACACACAATTTGTCAGCCCTGCATCCTTGCATGCCTCTAGGCAGAGGCTACAGCTTTAGGAGTTTATGGTCGCTAGTTACCAACTCTGTCCTCATAGACCATTCTGAGTAACAACTCATGAAACTGTCTCCCTTCAGTTTTTCTTCTTAGGCATAAAAATTACTCCCCCACCCTCACTCCTTGAGTGCTCCAGTCATATCTTCCATTTTCTTGATACAAAATACAAAGCACAAACCGACTGAGAAAACCTCCTTTAAGTGGAAATGAGGTTATCATTTCCACACACCTGGAAAACCTGCTAAATCACACTTTCACAATATATAGACTTAGGTTAATTTACAGTGTGTCTTTGATCATGCATAACTTTTATGATGTGGTCATCTCTGTGTGTTCCTTTGCTGTTTTACACTGTATACTTATATCCGGTTAGAATTTTGCATTTGAGATTCAGCTTACTTTTTTAAGGGACCACTTACTGTACATTTTCTATGTATCAGACACTATGCTAAATGCTTTACAATTCCCATAACAAACTCAGGCACTAAGCATTATTATGCCCTTTTTATAGAGGAGGAAGCTGAGATTTAGAGAAGCTAATTTTCTGAGGGCACAAGGCTAGTGAGATGCAGAGGCAAGGCTCAGTCTCATGTCTGTTAGATGAAGAGATTCAATAATTAGATAAGCTTCTTATAGTTATTGCTTTTTATAATGCTAATGTGACATTGTATTGCTTAAGAAATACCACTCAGCAATTAACAAGAGCTTGTGGAGGGAAATGTAATCCTTATTTCCAGAATCAAAATTTCCACAATTTATATTAAGCATCGCATTAGGTAACATATTTACCAGTGACCATTTCACCATCAGGGTGTTTTTTTTATTGGTTTTAACCAGTATTTTGAGAAAAACTGTTGCCATTCTTTCTTCTGGAGTCCTGACTGCTTGCTGTTTTGAAATTTCTCTTGCCCTCTGAAGCTCAGAGTGCTGCATATTCTCACATTGAGGACTCACTCCCAAAAAGCTGTGTTTTCTTTCTTTTACCTTGTGGCCCTCATCTGTAAAATGATACA